ACTTGAAAAGATGATTTTTTTTTTTTTTCCTTTAAGCTTATTTATTTCCTTTGGAATTTGATTAGTAAGATCCTAGAAACCTATTGTGTAATAGATAAGAATAGACAAAATAAAATAGAACTCTGATACATGTACATCCAGGTTTACCGTTGGGTGACGTAATGCAGATGTTGCCAATCAAGAGTTGTCACTTCTGCATTTTGTCATTTAGGTGGTAAATTTGGGTGTGCAAATAGCATTATCCAATAAATATATTATTGCGCTGATGTGTGAAAAAGAATGTGGAGGGGAAAAGTTAAAACCAACGGCTTTGGTAAGAAAGCGAAAAAAAAGAAAAAAAATGGTATTTGGTCAAAAAAATATAACCAGAGGTGTTTATTTTTGTACTTTATTTAGGGTTTTGTTAGTAAATAGATGAAAATAATTAAATGCTTACGTTGACATTATATTTCTTCAATACGTGCATCACACTTTAATTGTAAGAATTTTTTTAGTTATTATCCTCAACTTTACATTATTAGCACATTTTATCACTCATAATGATTTTGTACAAAATTTGTTAAATTGACGGAAAATGACTTATTTATCCTCGTATTTTTAAACGAAAAATAAATGTAAGATCAAATATGTGTCCCTCATTTTAAAATACAATTCATATATTTCTAGCAAAACCCGTCATTAAGAACACGTAGTGCTCATGAATGGAAGACTAAGGATAACAATGTAATGAAAAAAGGTTACGAACTTAAATGTCACAATGAATCAAGTTTATGGACCCTTGATACAATTTAATGTGCTGTCTTAAAAAAAATGCAGTGCCCATATAATTACTTATAAATAAAATTGTGGTGTAATAAATAAAATTTGTGGGGGTAATTTCGACATCCTAATACTAAATGATACACATCTATTTAACCATTTTCCATTTAACCCATGATTTTTACCATGTTCTATCCGTATTTTTAGAACTCATTTTTCTCCAAAACTTATTTATAAGAACGCATTCACGGGATCCGATTTTTCTCAATTTTCAACCACACATTTCACTATTTTTTTAATCAAAATTTACTAAAAATCTATTTTTCATTTACACCAAAGAGGGAGATTAGTTTTCCTTGTTCTTAAATTATTGTATATATGAATCAAATGGAACACCAAATTTTCATTTTAAGTTTTTTTATTCTTATACTAATACCAAATGACAAATAGTCGCTAAACCAAAGAGGGAGATTAGTTTTCCTTGTGCTTTTCCAATTATAACGGTAACAATTTTCATTAAAATTACTGATAATTTGTCACAAATAGGCGCTAAATCTTTTATAGTAAGACATGAACTTAAATTAAAAAACCTATATATATATATATTTTTTTTTTTTGCTTTGTACTTTATATTCAATGTCTAATGATTTAAAAAAACATATTTTTTGAAAGAATAAATATTATTTAAATTTTATATTGTGAATAATACATGATCCGCCAAGTTCGGTTTCATACTTTTGAATAACTCATTTTGCGTAGACAGATTTGAATCTCAAATTAAATATAGTATTTAATTTTATTTTCAGAACAAGTTGGTTTTAAATAAACCTTTTAGCAAGCCATGGTATTTTTTATAAAACAATAGCTGTCCACATTAATTTAAGATTAATAAAAGTACAGGTTCAACTTAATTAATAAAGGCCCAAAAAATAATAGATTAATATTGTGTTGTTCGAGAGACAAGTTGAGTTCATCCTTGTTTTGATAGAGATGTTTTTGGAATAGAATCTTTGAAAAAAATGATTATTTTTTCTTTAAAAACGTGTTATTAAAAAATAGGAAAAAAAAAAAAAAACTTTGGTCTATGCACAAATTATTTTAATTGTAAAAATCAATTATTGAAAATAACTTTTTAGAAAAATTGTTTTTACAGATAAAAATAACTTTTAAAAAATTGTTGTACGTTACAATCTACATGGTGCTTGTCAAGAAGAAATGTTCATCAAATTTATAGTAAAAATCTTACTATATGTTATACACTAGATGCAGCCATAATTATTGACCAATTTTCAGTGGATAGACCAATATGCCCCTATAACATTTAATTCAATATTCTTTAGAAAATGAAAAATTTTGTTTTATATGGAGTAAAAATGACGTCACAAATGTGGACTTGTACATTTGTAACAGTCAGAGCCATTAAATTAAAAGTTGAAATATGGAATTGATTGGAAAACATGTGATGTTATTAAATGCAAGATGCTTCGTGTCCGTTTCTTGTTCCAACCAATAATCTCAAGTCAAGATTTATGAAGAAAACCTTCAAAAAATAAAAAAATCCCTAAAATGCTTGTACCTTTTTATTCATTTATTGCCAACCATTGACCTCATCTTTGATTCAATAGTCCAGGGCGTTTTCATAATTCGAAAGGACAAGAATTGTTGAACAATCATTTTTCCATTATAGAAGATGAATTAAGTTGCTTTACCAGAAAATGTTTACATTCTAGTTAACAGATGTATTTGTGGCAGAAAATAATTGGATATAAAAATTGATTTTTTAAAATAGCCAAATTATAGAATGCAACATTTTGTCAAGAAAGATGTTAAACTTTTTTTTTTTTGGTACCCAGGTATCCCAGCTTAGTCAGATCAGACTAAATCCTAATAAAAGCAAAACCCTAACCTAATTCGGCAGAAAAATTTGAGTAGAGCTAAAAAACTGCAAAAAATGACAAAAATACCTTTAAATTGAAAAAAAAA